TTTTACTGCTGTTGTTTGATACAGGAAAAGACACCAAGTCCTCAGACTGGGCCTGGGTACAGCTCAAGTCTGTTCATTTGCTTTTTTAGCGCTCACTCACTCACTCAGTGTCGCAGCATATTGAAAGACAAGCATCTGGTCTTGCTGGTGAGCTGCCCTTATTCAAGGGGGCAAACATTTTGCTATATAACGCACACTGTATCCTACATCAACTTCTCACCTGCACCACGTGCCAGCAGCTTTTACACAGTAAACGCAATGGCTGTACTGCAAGTAAATGGCCGTATCTCAGAGTCTAAGAGGAGTAGTCCTTATTGATGTCCATAGAGGCATTCCACAGACAGGGGGCCCCAGCACAGTCATCAAGATCAGTCTCCTAGATCAGTCCATGGGCTTGGCCACAGTTGGCGTCACTATCTTGGTGTCATTATCTTACTAAAGTAAAAAAAAACTGACATGCAGGATTGCAGAAACACCAGGCTTTGGTTGTGGTGATGGTACCATTGATTTTGTGGTCAAAATCCTGGAATTTTCTTCCCAATGACATTGTGGGTCAACCTACAGTCAGTGTTCTGCAGTGGTTCAAGGCAACAGCTCACCACCACCTTCAAGGTCAACTAGGCAATAAATGCTGGTCACCAACACCCATGTCCCACAAGTGAATAATAAACATTGCTGCAGGAGGCAACTTCAGTATCTGTGATGGTGGTGCTAAAATGGACACCTCTATATAGCTGACATAATATACACGACCCTCTGCTTCAGTTAACCAAGGTATGTACCCTAACTCAAAACAGTGAGCAAATGGCATTTTTTTTCCAGCAGATGCCACTGCTGTTGGCAAACATTCAGAATACTGATTATGCAAAACTTGACTTTAACTGCAACATCAATGCAGCTAGATAATCTGGAAGAGCGCAATGCCACATCCAGTACCCTGATGTTAATTGCAAACAATGCTAAATTTCACATTTTCTTTAGCAAGTCTGCAGTTGGAGTGCTGTCCTGATACACCTGGTTGAGGCCAGATGGGTGGTTCAGCAAGCCTGCAGATGGAGAGCTGAACTGATACAACTGGACAAGGCCAGAAGGGTTGGTATTTTCTAGTTTGTAACTTTCACTGATGTGATTGCCAACTTCTTCTCTGACCACTGTCACCTAATGGCTTGCTGTCAGGTACAAGACAGCCAGAGAGTTAATGCGGCTCATAGACCTATGCAATAAATTGTCGACACCAAAAACCATAGGGAAACGTGAAGAAATTGCAAAGATTGGAGAACAAAAATTGGTGGTATAGTGAACAGTGAAGGAGATTATAATAAGAGGTCTTGATCAATTGAGTCGTTGGGCTGAGGAGTGGCATATGGAGTTTAATTTAGATAAATGTGAGGTTTTGCATTTTGGTAAGACAAACAATGGCAGGACTTACACAATTAATGGTAGGGCCCTGGGTAGTGTTGTAAAACACTAGGGGTTCAGGTACAAAATTCTTTGAAGTTTGCATCACAAGTAGACATGGTAGTTAAGAAGGCATTTAGCATGCTTACTTTCATTGTTCAGATCTTTGAGTACAGGAGTTGGGACGTCATGTTAAAGTTGTATAGGACATTGGCGAGGCCTCTTCTCGACTACTATGTGCCGTTCTGATCACCCTTTTATAAGAACGATATTATTAATCTGGAGAGGATTCAGAAAAGATTTACCAGGATGTTGCCAGGAATGGAGGATTTGAATTATAAAATAGACTAGAAAGGCTGGGACTTTATTCACTGGCTTGAAAAATCATGAGGCGCATAGTTAAGGTGAAAAGCAAGGGTCTTTTGCCTAGGGTGGGGGGGTCAAAGCTATGGTGCATATTTTTAAAGGGTGACAGGAGAAAAATTTAAAAATTTAAAAAGGACACGAGGGACAACTTCTTTGCTTTGTTTTAAACACAGTGGCTCATGTGGAATGAGCTTCCAGAGAAAGTCGTAGATGGAGGTATAGTTACAACATTCAAAAGACATTTCGATAAATGCATGATTAGGAAAGGTTTGGAGGAATATGGACCAAACACAGGCAGGTGGGACTAATTTATTTTGGAAATATGGTTGGTTGGACCGAAGGGTCTGTTTCCACTCTGTATGCCTCTATGACTCTATCTAACAAATGATCATTCTGCTCTTTTACCATAGTGGTACTGTCCCTACCTCTGCGTCCATGGTTATTACACAAACACCTGGGACAAAGACTTTGACTGGCAACACAATATTTAATGATCTCAGTAATAAAGGCAGTACTAAGCTACCAAAAGATCCAAATTATTTTCATTCGAGGTCAAAATGAAACGGTCCACTCCGATAAATCCAGTTCGATGTTTACAGATTGTGATAGAAGAGATAAGTAAACAGACCAGGCCCAACACGACATTACTCAAGACCCTTCCATAACCACCCTTTCAGCCATAGAGCACCTGTTCACACAGATAATGGTACCAGCCCCTCCATTCTCTAAGCTTTCCATTTGTAAACACATAGATACTAACAATGTAGTTAACAATGATGAATTTGGGAGATCAGACTTTCCAACTTTTGATTCAAGTAAGGAAAATTTTAATGCTGCGAGACAAGAACTTTCAAAAGTTGATTGGAGTAGCTGTTCACAAATAAATGGACGTCTGATAAGTGGGAGGTTTTCAAAAGTGCAAAAGCGAAAGTTCAGAGTAATTATGTTCCTGTTAGAGTAAAAGGCAAGTCTGGTAGAGAACCACAGATGAATAAAGATATTAAGGTTCTAGTCAAGAATGAAGAATCACAGCAGATATAAACAACTGGGTTCAAGTGAATCTCTTGAACAGTATAGAGTGTAAGGGCGTTCCTAACAGGGAGATCAGGAATGCAAAGAGAGGGTATGAGATAGCCTTGACAAATAAGGTTAAGGATAATCCAAAGAATTTTACAAGTACATTAAGAGCAAGAAAACAACTAGAGAGACAGCAGGTCCCCGTAAAAAACAGAGGTTGTCTTTGTGTTAAACGTCAGGAGGTGGGAGATATTAAATAAATATTTAGCATCAGTTTTTACTGTGGAGAAAGAAATGGAGATCAGAGAACTTAGAGAAATAAATACCAATGTTTTGAAAACCATTCACATTACAGGAGAATGTGCTAGAGGTCTTAGAAAATATTGGGGTGAATAAATCCACAGGACTTTGTGGGTGGTGGGAGAGGAAACTGGGGGGCCTTGCAGAAATACTTGTATCATCTATGAATGCAAATAAGGTGCCAAATGACTGGAGAGTGGCTAATGTTGTGCCTTTAAGAAGGGATGTGAGTAGAAGCCTGGGAACTGCAAACCTGTGCATCTGACTGTGGTGGTGGATAAGTTGTTGGAAGTGATTCGCAAAGATAGGATTTATGTGCATTTGGAGAGGCAAGGAATGATTAAGGATAGTCAGCACGGTTTTCTAAGATGGAAATAGCATCCAACAAACTTCACAGCTTTTTGAGTAAGCAAGATGACTGACAAAGGCAGAATGGCAGACATCGTATAGGAGTTGGGACGTTATGTTGAGGTTGTAGACATCGTTGTTGAGGCCTCTTCTGGAGTAATGTGTCCAGTTCTGATCTTCCTGTTATAGGAAGGATAATAATTAAGCCGGAGGGAGTTCAAAAGAGATTTATCAGGATGTTGCCAAGAATTTGGGTGGGCGGGGGGGGGGAAGAGGGGGGGGGGGGGGGGGGGGGAAGCGGGGGGGGGGGTGGTTTGAGTTACAAGGAGAGGCTGGATAATCAGGAACTTTTTTCACAGGAGCGCAAGAGGTTGAGAGGTGACCTTATAAGAGTTTATAAAATAATGAGAGGTATAGACAAGGTGAATAGGAGATGTCTTTTCCCTATGGTGGGAGTTTTCAAGACGAGGTGGCATATTTTTCATGTGAGAAGAGAGAGGTTTGAAAAAGGCATGAGAGGCAATTTTTTTAATTTTATAAACACAGAGTGGTTCATGTGTGGAATGAACTTCCAGAGCAAGTGGTGGATGTGGCTATAGTTACAACGTTTAAAAGACATTTAGATAAGTACATGAATAAGAAATGTTTGGAGGAGTATGGGCCAAGTGCAGGCAGCTGGGACTAGTTCCGTTTGGGATTATGTTAAGCATGGACTGGTTGGACTGAAGGGTCTGTTTCCGTGTTGTATGACTCAATAACAAACTTGGAGAAAAAAGGAGTCCAGATATGCGGTAATACTGACAAGAAGCCTATGGACTTGCTGAAAGTAGAGGCAGGAGAGAGAATGTACAAAGAGATAGTTGGTGAATTGGGGCTACTTTTGTTACCCAGGATGATCCAAGTAACAGCTGGTCTCAATAGAAAAAAAAACACAAGAGCACTTGCTCCTGCAAGATCTGGTGATGAAAGGGTAAATCAGACATGCATCAGATATTCTGATTTGCATTCTTTAGACTTGAGGGGGCAAAGATGGGTACCATGCCAGGGAGATGTTAAGAACAAGAAAAATGCTCAGGATAAAGACATCTAAAATGTGGGAAATGAGCATCTGAGGAAGTATTATGGTGAGTGAAATACCAAAACTCAAGGCATTTGAAAGTTTGAAATGCAGCCATAAAATAATTTGGGGTTCCAAGGACAGGCATAGAAGGAAGATCTTTCTGTCCTCTATTTGGCACATAATTCAGCACTTCAACCTTTCCAGCACAGCAGGATCTAAATCTTTTTACATTTCTTTATGCAGAGTCAAAAAGAGACACTGGAAAAGATTGTGGTGTGGGTTCAAAAATATAGCAATCTGCTCAACGAAACCTATTTCCATCTGTGTGCCAATTAGAACCAGAAACATAGCCAGTAATGAAGTACATATAAAAGGGGACAGATTCCTAAAAAAAAACATGAAGTTTATTCTTACTTTGATTCATCAAATTAAAGTTACTTCATATGCACATACTTACAACACAAATAGATAGGCGGTTCTGTGGTCAAAAACGAGACTCCCGAGTGGTATGTTGCCTCCCAGGTGCACAGGTCAGGGATGTCTCGGATCGACTGCAGGACATTCTGAAGGGGGAGGGTGAACAGCCAGCTGTCATAGTGCATAAAGGCACCAATGATGTAGGTAAAAAACAGGATGGAGGTCCTACAAGCAGAATTTAGGGAGTTAGAAGCCAAGTTAAAAAGTAGGACCGCAGAGGTAGTAATCTCAGGATTGCTACCAATGCCACATGCTAGTCAGAATAGAAATGAAAGAATAGGCAGGATAAATGAGTGGCTTGAGATGGTGCAGGAGGGAGGGGTTCAGATTTTTGGGACATTGGGACCGGTTCTGGGAGAGGTGGGACTATTACAAAATCGGACAGTCTACACCTGGGCAGGACTGGAACCAATGTCCTAGGGGTGCTTTTGCTAACGCTGTTGAGAAGGGTTTAAACTAATGTGGCAGGGGGATGGGAAACAAATGAGGAGGTTAGTGGACAGTAAGCAGGTAGTAACTAAAGCCTGTAAGAAACCAAATAATGAAGTCAGTATGACGAAGGGGAAGAGTAGGCAGAGAGCAGATGATGAACACAAAAAGGGACAGGTGGTCTGAGGTGCATTTGTTTTAACGCAAGAAGTGTAGTAGGTAAGGCAGATGACCTTAGGGCTTGGATTAGTACCTGGGAGTATGATGTTATTGCTATTACTGAGACTTGGTTGAGGGAAGGGCAAGATTGGCAACTAAATATCCCAGGATATAGATGCTTCAAGCAGGATACAGAGGGAGGCAAAAGGGGTGGAGGAGTTGCATTACTAGTCAAAGAGGATATCACAGCTGTGCTGAAGGAGGGCACTATGGAGGACTCGAGCAGTGAGGCAATATTGGCAGAGCTCAGAAATAGGAAGGGTGCGGTAACAATGTTGGGGCTGTACTACAGGCCTCCCAACAGCGAGCGTGAGATAGAGGCACAAATATGTAGCCGGATTATGGAAAGATGTAGGAGCAACAGGGTGGTGACGGGAGATTTTAATTTTCCCAACATTGACTGGGATTCACTTAGTGTTAGGGGTTTAGATGGAGCAGAATTTGTAAGGAGCATCCAGGAGAGTTTTCTAGAGCAGTATGTAAATAGTCCAAGTCGGGAAGGGGCCTTACTGGACCTGGTGTTGGGGAATGAGCCTGGCCAGGTGGTTGAAGTTTCAGTAGGGGATTACTTTGGGAATAGTGCTCATAATTCCGTAAGTTTTAGAATACTGATGGACAAAGACGAGAGTGGTCCTAAAGGAAGAGTGCTGAATTGGGGGAAGGCCAACTATAGCAAAATTCAGCGGGAGCTGGGGAATGTGGATTGGGAACAGCTGTTTGAAGGTAAATCCACATTTGATATGTGGGAGGCTTTTAAAGAGTGCAGGACAGACATGTCCCTGTGAAAATGAGGGATAGAAAGGGCAAGATTAGGGAACCACAGATGACAGGTGAAATTGTGAGACCAGCAAAGAGGAAAAAGGAAGCATACACAAGGTCTAGGCGACTGAAATCTGACGACCAATCTGAAACAAGGAATTAAGAGGGCTAAAAGGGGTCATGAAATATCTTTAGCAAACAGGGTTAAGGAAAATCCCAAAGCCTTTTATTCATACATAAGGAGCAAGAGGGTAACGAGAGAAAGGGTTGGCCCACTCAAGGACAAAGGAGGGAAGTTATGCGAGGAGTCAGAGAAAATGAGTGAGATTCTTAATGAGTACTTTGCATCAGTATTCACCGAGGAGAGGGACATGACAGATGTTCAGGTTAGGGATAGACGTTCGATTACTCTCGGTCAAATCGGCATGGGGGCGGGAGGGGGGTATTCTAAAAGGCATTAGGGTGGACAAGTCCCCAGGTCCGGATGGGATCTATCCCAGGTTAATGACGGAAGTGAGAGAAGAAATAACTGGGGCCTTAACAGATATCTTTGCAGCATCCTTGAGCATGGGTGAGGTCCCGGAGGACTGGAGAATTGCTAATGTTGTCCCCTTGTTTAAGAAGGGTAGCAAGGATAATCCAGCTAATTATAGACCGGTGAGCCTGACGTCAGTGGTGGGGAAGCTGCTGGAGAAGATACTGAGGGATAGGATCTATTTACATTTAGAAGAAAATGGGCTTATTAGTGATAGGCAGCATGGTTTTGTGCAGGGAACGTCATGTCTTACCAACTTGATAGATGAGGGAAGGGCTGTAGATGACATATACATGGACTTCAGTAAGGCGTTTGATAAGGTTCCCCATGGTAGGCTGATGGAGAAAGTGAAGTCGCATGGGGTCCAGGGCGTACTAGCTAGATGGATAGAGAACTGGCTGGGCAACAGGAGACAGAAAGTTGTAGTTGGAGTTTCTCAAAATGGAGAACTGTGACCAGTGGTGTTCCACAGGGATCCATGTTGGGACCACTGTTGTTTGTGATATACATAAATGAACTGGAGGATGGTCTGATTAGCAAGTTTGCAGATGACACTAAGATTGGTGGAGTAGCAGATAGTGAAGGGGACTGTCGGAGAATGCAGCAGAATACAGACAGATTGGAAAGTTGGGCGGAGAAATGGCAGATGGAGTTCAATCCAGGCAAATGCGAGGTGATACATTTTGGAAGATCCAATTTGAGAGCAAACTATATGGTAAATGGGAAAGCCCTGGGGAAAATTGATACACAGGAGAGATCTGGCTGTTCAGGTCCATTGTACCCTGAAGGTGGCAACGCAGGTCGATAGAGTGGTCAAGAAGGCATATGGCATGCTTTCATTCATCGGACAGGGCATTGAGTACAAGAGTTGGCAGGTCACATTACGGTTGTATAGGACTTTGGTTCAACCACATTTGGAATACTGCGTACAGCTCTGGTTGCCACATTACCAAAAGGATGTGGATGCTTTGGAGAGGGTGCAGAGGAGGTTCACCAGTATATTGCCTGGTATGGAGGGCGCTAGCTATGAAGACAGGTTGAGTAGATTAGGATTATTTACATTAGAAAGACGGAGGTTGGGGGGGACCTGATTGAGGTCTACAAAATCATGAGAGGTATAGACAGGGTGGATAGCAAGAAGCTTTCTCCCCCAGAGTGGGGGACTCCATTACTAGGGGTCACAATTTCAGGGCAAGAGGGGAAAAGTTTAAGGGAGATATGTGTGGAAAGTTCTTTACGCAGAGGGTGGTGGGTGCCTGGAACGCATTACCAGCGGAGCTGGTAGAGGTAGGCACAATAGCATAATTTAAGAGGTATCTAGACAGCTACATGAATGGGCAGGGAGCAGAGGGATACAGATCCTTGGAAAATAAGCGACAAGTTCAGATAGAGGATCTGGATCGGCACAGACTTGGAGGGGCAAAGGGCCTATTCCTGTGCTGTAATTTTCTTTGTTCTTTGTTCAAAGCACTGGCCATTTTCACCTACTCGTACCGCTTCTACATCTGCAGAACCGCAGCAAGTCATGTAAAGTCAGGTACACCAACAAATGGGGATTTTTGACAGTAATAAACAAGCAGGCTGGGACCTTTCTCCGCTAGAGTGTAGGGGGTTAGAGGTGACCTTATAAAGATTTTTAAAATAATGAGTGGTATAGACAAAGTGAATGGCAAGAATCTTTTCCCTAGGTAAGGGGATTTCCAAGACTAGGGGGCATATTTTTAAGGTGAGAGGACAAAGATTTAAAAAGGCATGAGGGTTTTTTTTTAAAATATATCCAATTTGTGAGTGGAATGAACTGCCAGAGGAAGTGGTGGATGTGGGTCCAGTTACAACATTTAAATAAATACATGAATACCAAATGTTTGGAGGGATACAGCCAAGCACAGGCAGGTGGGACTTGTTTGGGATTATAGTCAGCATGGACTCATTGGACTGAAGGGTCTGTTTCTGTGCTGTATGACTCCAAATCTCTATCTGACATCAACTCACATAGATCCATACTCAGAAAACTAACTTACTTTTCTCTTTGCAGATACTAACAGAAGCATTTTGCAGAATTACAGTTTTATTTCTGATATCCAACATTTGCAGTACTTTAAAGCACTAAGAGGTGCATGACCAAAAGAAGAAAATTAATGCTCAACAGTAGTGACAGAATCAGTCCAAGTACCTTTTAAATCTTTTCCCCTCTCAACCTAAACCTATGCTGTCTAGGTTTGGACTCCCCTACCCTGGGGAAAAGACCTTGGCTATTCACCCAAATCACAACTCTCTCAATATTATAAATTTCAAATAAGGTCACCCCTCGGCCTCCGATGCTCCAGGGAAAATAGCCCCTGCCTATGCAGCCTCTCACTGTAGCTCAAAACCTCCAACCCAGGCAACATACTTAATCTTTTCTGCATCCTTTCAAGTTGAACAACATCTTTCCTGTAGTAAGGAGACAGGAACTAAACGCAGTATTCCAAAAGTGGCCTAACCAATGTCCTGTACAGCTGTAACATGACCTCTTCACTCCTATACTAAATGCCCTTACCAATAAAGGCAAGCGTACCAAATGCCTTCTTCAGCAGCCTGTCTAGTTGGGATTCCACTTTCAAGGAACTATGAATCTGCACCCTAAGGTCTCTTTGTTCGACAACACTCCCCAGGGCCTTATCATTAAGTGCATAAGATAAAATGTAAAAGTTAAATGCAAAAGGAAGTTGGAAGATAATGCCTGCACTTAAAATTCAGTCCCAGTTTTGCAATTATACATTGTCTTTACATTGATACAATGCTGTGATGAAATCTACAGCAATTTAGGAAGTGGAACAAGAGTTGGGTACAGGATGAGAATTTCTTTGCAGTAAAAGTCGAGATATATAAAACCATGGTATCATCTCTGTAAGAGAATGTAACTATAGTGTACAACATTTACTCTTATAATGGTTAGGATGGGCAAAAACTGAAAAAGAATGAAAACAAGATTTTTCAAACACACTAGTGATGGTCTGATCTTACGAAAGTCTAAAAAAGAATTTTTTTGTTTCTTACCCACTGACTTGATATGCTTTTTACTTCATCTAAAGTGGACTTTTAAAGATCAAGTCTTTTTGCAGGATTACACACTAACATTCGGTTTGAAACATGTTTTAGCAACTTAAAATTTTATTCCATGTTTGCAGTTAAGAAAATAAAACAAAATCTATGCTGTCATATTTTATGAGCACAGTTATAC